GTGACCCTGATGCTAGGGACAAGTCTTTCCCCTTATCTCTTGCAGTAGCCTACTACATGCGAAGAGGAGCTTTGTTCAGTATGGTTGGCCTTTCTATGCACTGGAGATACGTCATCATGTTTGACGACATAGCATCCGGAGGATAGAAGGACCCAGTTTGTCCAGTAACAGTTACTCTAATATCTAAGTGTCTTGATTCTGAGTCAGTACGATAAACAGGATGGTCTAACTTGGGTATGAACATAAAGAAAACACTTATCTGAGATGTTTGTACCCAAGCTACACCACGATGCACCTTGTTCCTTTTCCCAGGTCTAGCTATCATCAACACCATATAAGGCATGATGAACAACAGATAGTTGTACTCAAGCTACACCACATTGCACCATGTTCACTATCTCAGTAAGGGATCTATGTTCTTTCTATGTTCTTATTATCTAACGACTATACGGCATGACATATTCCTAATATGGTGATACCAGTCACCATTTTTCACAGATATTGCGTGACTCTATTACTTATATGGAAAAGTACGAGTGATGTTGAGCCAATCAGGTTTGATGTGTGAACCAATCAGGTTCCATATCCTTATTTGGTAATGAATAAAATGTGTTGGCCAATCAGGTTCCATGTCCTTATATGGTGAAGGCCTACACATGCTGATTGAAAGAGTTGGTCTCAACGCTGTACTGTCGCTTCCAGTCCACTCGTTTGGGTCTTATTAGACCAAAGAAACTAAAGCCAAAAAAATCAGCAATGTTTCCAATGACAGTCCGGCTGAAAGGAAAAAAAAATCATACACACACACACATTAAGTAGGTCAGACGAGGTATTGTGTTTCACTGCAAATAGACCTTTTTAGCTTTGGTGTATGTTCCCATTGTGTAGTGCATAAAGGTTTCTCCCACCTCTCTTTCTGATTTCCTCTAGGGTGGGGTAGGGATATTTATATACAAGTAGGTCAGACAATGTAGGTGTAATGTTTTCCCATTGTGTAGTGAATAAATGCTTCTCCCACCTCTCTTTCTGAGGTATGGATACTTATTGAAACCACACATTTAAAAACATGTGTTATTCCCTCGAGTATTATTTCTTTCCCCATCTCCATCATTCGTTATTTCTTCACATTTATGTTTTCCATCTCAGACCACATGTCATTCCCTTGAGTACTATTTCTTTCTTCATCAGTAATGTTTTCAATCTCAGACCACATGTCATTCCCTTGAGTATTAGTTCTTTCTTCACCAGTAATGTTTTCTATCTCAGACCACATGCCATTCCCTTGAGTATTATTTCTTCCTTCAACAGTAATATTTCCATCTCATACCACATGTCCTTCCCTTTAGTATTATTTTTTTCTTCACCAGTAAAGTTTTCCATCTCAGACCACATGTCATTCCCTTGAGTATTAGTTCTTTGTTGAACAGTTACACATGAATATGGATAGAACTCAAACCAAGAATCTTAATCTTAATTAAATAACACATGGTTTGAAATAAGATAACATTGAGGTAAAGTGTGATATTGGTTTACCTGAAGGGACTTTTGGGTACACCAGTATGATCCATCATGTGGGAATAACGACCCATATTGAGACGCTCGTTYGTTGTCATGCCAACCCAGAACAACTGATTGATTAATAAAAATATAATAAATATTTATCTCACTGCTGACCTGATATCATGATGATATGCTTCCCATGACCCTCACTGGTCACCGCTTCGTTGCGCTTATCAATATTTGTAACTTTATGATCAGAGGTATATTTAGGTTGAGTTGGTATTGCATTGCATTGTGGGATTGTTTGAAATAGTCCCATAATGCACTGCAAGGGGGCTATAGAAAACTATGCACTATAGAAAACTATGCACGGCAATACTTGTCACTACCGCTGACCTATACTAGCAAACAAATAGCTGAGACGACAGCACATGTGAAAACTAGACATAACCACTGACCTGATAAGACTGACAAAAGAACAAGGCTCCACTACTGGTGACCTATACTAGCAAACAATAGCTGAGACCACAGCACATGTGAATACTAGACATAACCACTGACCTGATAAGACTGACAAAAGAACAAGGCTCCAACCCATAAGAAGTGAAACATGGCGTTACCAAAACCCCACGACACCCATGGAGAACAATGAGCACTACGAGAAATAGCATCCCACCAGCCACCGGTGTATCCACTGCACACATTGATGTAATCTACACAACAGACATGAATCAATGTTAGTTAATCTGAGGTTGAGGAAAGACTGGGCAAGTTGGCATTGCAGTGCATTGTGGGACTGTAGCTACGGCCCTGCTTAAAGGAAACAGCTTTCATCAAAGTGAACAAGTTGACCCTTCAAAATGTTTAAATTGTTACAGCTGGTGACCCACCTAAAGCCCCACCCCCCCTCTCTCCAATAAAATAACTTTCCTTAGCAGACACCATCTTGAAAATAACATATGACCCCTAAAACTGTCCCAGAATGCACTGCATTGGGTGGCCAACACCAGTATATCGACAGGAGACAAAACATAGAAATAAAGTGATAGCAAGTAAGAGACTTACAAACAAACGCGCCATACGTATACACATTGATCATCACAAACAGGAAAAACAGGTATCCGATAAAGTAATGGTGATTACCAGAACCTGTTGGACAATACAAGAAAAAGAGGTTATGTCGCCATTTATTAAAAGAAACGTGTTAGACTAGTATTATTGAGTACAGTCATGGTATGATGATGTGTGRCGAACCAATCACAGATGCAAGCTATGTCAAGGTACATTATGGCACATTATGGCACACCACTGTACATAATGTCATTACATGGCTCGTCCACAATAATAAATCTGTTATAAAAACTATAACCGTTTGTCACAAAATACCTGATAGTATGATGTTAGATAAACTTTTTTGATGGATAATTACCAAGGCTTATGACAAAGTAGGCTTATAATCTGAGGGGGTTCTCATAATCATAGGGTGGGGTACTTATAACCTGGATCAAATGTATAGTATATTCTTACCAATACAGTTCTCTACCCAGGGACAGTGATGATCAAATCTAGCAACACATCGATTACACACTGAACAATGCTTGGATCTGATTGGCTTACGGATCTAAAAAGAATATCATGAGTAACATATACAAATTTCTTTGGGGGGAGGGGAGGGAGGGGGGATGCTTAAAGACTGAATCAAGGGTGATGTAGCAATAATACACTTGCCTATCACCTCTCTGGTTTATTCCTGGACTAAACATCACAATGTCATGTGAGTAGAGTTTGTTAGGTCTCTCCCTTGATTTGTGTTTTTTTTGTCTTTCCACCTTCCTCAATAATTCCAATTTATACCTGTGAGTTTGTGTACCCTGACTATTAATAGATCAGTCCAGAGGTTGTTTCAGGGATTGATCTGAGAATTAGCCATGCCCTGACTTAGATCAGCCCAGAGGTTGTTTCAGGGTT